GCCGCGCCCCCCCCGCCGCGGGCCGTTCCGCCCGGAGCCGCGGCTCCCCCTCCAGCCGCGCTTCCTCGGAGCATGTTCTGGAGGAGCAGCTCCCTCCCAAAACGCCCAAACGCAGCCGCTGTCCCGGTGCAGCCCGTGACAGACCCCTTTGCGTTCGGCAGACAAACGCCCCAGGGCTCCTCTTTAGGTACTGCGCCCAAGGGCCACGCGCTGGCTATGCAAAGTCCTCCCCCAGGGGTGTTTCCCCAACCAGCTCTTATGCATCCTTCACCTCCACATGCAGGAGACAATCCTCATGGACTGCCTACGCCTTTATCAGCTCCTGTGGCTCAAGTGGGGATAAATCCCAGCACGTTTTCTAATATTCCAGCTTCTTCGCCGCCCCCAGGATATGTTATAAATAGTACGACAGAGGTTTATCCAAATGCAGATGCTGGACTCCATGGGCCCGCAGTGTCATTGCAATATAATACAGGAGCAGCACTTGAGAATTCTTTCAGTGGGCATCCTGGAATGGTGTCTACATCAAACAAACCTGGAGTTAGGCAAGATGTTAACAGAGAAGCAAGCGATGCTCCTCCGGGATCCACTGCAACACTCTTCTCTCCGTCTCCTCAGCAGCCCATGTCTCAGTGGAGACCTGTTCAAGGTAACGCGCAGTCTCCAGTTCGAAATATGCCCTACCCTGAGCCATCTTTTCAACCTGACGTTCATAACATTTCTCAGTCTTCTGTTAGCACTTCTCATCCTTCCCCACAGACAAATTTGCAGCAGAGTCCTGTGCACCAAGCTGTTCCACAAAACATCCTGCAAGCACCTTCATTAGCTGGTTGTGAAAAAAATGGGAAAAACAGCTCTGCAGGTAGCAGTCACCACGTGAATAGCGTCCAGCCTGGAAATATGTTTAGACAGAACGCAGAAATGACTAACTCTTGGTTAAATCAACCCTACCAAGAGCAGTTTTACCCACAGCCACCACTGCAAGACTCCAGTTTTGTTATTCCCACAGCTCAGGAAAATAACCCCCAAAACCAGTCTTTAGATATGTCTAGTGCATCAAATAGACCTACCCCCACAGGTCGAGAGTCAGGAACTCTGTCTATGTTTTTCAAAGGGGATGAAGCTGAGAATGAGGAAATACTTTCATCTGAAAAAAACTACATGGTTGAGAAAACTGAATTTGTTGGTCAGCCAAATTTGGGACCCTTGTATCACCAGCCAGTGCATCCTCAGCGGGTTGCAACAAACGTTGTGTCTCAGGTGCAGACTGGTGCAGGCTCATCCAGTGAGATGGTACAAAAAGGAATGGATGTCCAGTATTTTCCTAAAGCTATAAGCAGTTCCCAGGAGACACAGACCAGTAAGCATTCTGTGTTTGCTAATGATGACACGACACATGCCGGAGGCCCATCTGGAAACAGTGGGGCACAGTATGAAAATGTTGAGAACCTGGAGTGCATCCAGAATCAAGAAGTGCTGCCGAGTGAACCGCCGAACATGAGCGCTCCGTCCCCAGCCGCCTGCTCCGATCCCTACCGATACGGATCCTTGCCCGGTCAGGTGTTTCCCAAGAACTCTGTCGTGAGCCGTGCTGAGGGAGGACCAAATTTGGAGGCACCTGATTCACTCCCTTATCCTGTTCGACCGGATAGTGTGTCTTCCACCTACAGCAACCGGAGCCACAGGAG